ATAGAATCCAGGTGTGAAAATAATCAAGGACATGACAGGGATGCTGGACATGTATACCAATAATTGCCAATGAAAGGAAAATGTTGATTCATACAATATTAAAAAAAAAAAAAAAAAAAAAATCATGTTTTCATTGAAAAATTGCTGGACCAAGGTACACTTTCGTTTAAAGACCTACAGGTGTATATTCCATAGGATAGTGTATGTAAACATATCATTCACAAAATACATCTTAAAGTGAGACCTTTTGTTAAGCGATTAAATCCTTTTTTCTTCACTTCATTTATCACATTAACTGGAGATAAGACTTTGAAAACATGTCTTTATCTAGAATTTAAAAATCATAAAGTAGCAAACATTTACCTGCATTATTTAACAAAATTCAAAGAAAACTGAATATCGTTAAATATGATCTGAATACTCTAGTATATCTTTAACAGAGCAGGAAGATAATTTTTATTAAACTAAACGGATACATTGACAGTTTTCCTGCTAACATTAGCTACTGTTTGAAGTTGACAAGATAATTACAAAGCCAATTTACTGGTTAAATTTCACAGTTGCTGATCTGTGACAAACTACCCATTTATTTGCACAATATTTTGGTTGAGTAAATGCAATAATAACAGGTCACAGAGTACCTTGTGATCAAATCGTATGTGTACCCCACGAGATACAGTATACAACAGTTGTGTACCCCACATACACACCAGATACAAGACAGTGCATGGTTAGGAAAAAATACTTTCGCTTAGAAATAGGAAAGCGTAATGACAAAATATTTTGTATTTGTACCTATTGAAGTGAACCATCTCTAAGTATGATTTTCTTCACATGGATATTATGTAGACTGTAAATGAGCCCCTGTACACAGACTTAGTTTGGAATGAAGCCGAATCTCTACAAATGTACATGAACATTAGCAAGTCTAAATTTTTGCTATGTATAAATATATACTGTTGCTCGTATATCAAAATTTGTTTTGTATAATGATAACATTTAAATATACTTAAAATGAAGTAAATATATTTAAATCCATTTTACTTGTGTTAATGTGCATTGGTGTTGACTATTTAACTCCTTGTTGCTGTAGTAAAGTACACACAGATTAAATAAAGTGACACCATAAATACTTGTCATCTTCCCAGCATTCCTCACACACATGAGATTGTACACTATTGTGGTGTATACCTGGGAAAAATAACAGTACTTCCCCCAACCCTAACATTACACTACATGACTACCAATATCCTATGCTGTCTATGTTTCCCATGGGTTTGATCCTCTCAAATAAGTACCTTTAACGAGAACTTTTCCTAGATTTTTGGGTTCAAGTCGGGAAGATAGTTATCAGGAAGAAATTTCCTCAGATAGTATGGTACAAATTGAAAAGCTAGTAATGCTAGAAAGAAATTTCAGGAGATATTGTGATACAAGCTGGAGAGCTAGTTATCGAAAATAAATTTTTAGACCACAAGTCAGACAGCAAAGCCAGAGCAATTTCCAGGGGTATTATGGTACAAGATGGAAAACTAGTCACTGGGATGGTAGGAATTGGAAAGGGAGCCAGACACTACATGTTGTATACATGTCCAACAAAGATATACATTACAGGATTCCTCACTGGAGGACAGACAATTATACACAGAGGTCTGGTATTGACAGAAAATCCGCAATACTGTAGACAGGTGGAAGGTGAGAGTTGAAACGTCTACTAGCCTCAGTCAGATCAATACTGAAGCTGTGATATTATCCTCTGTATTACACAGCCGATATACCTCTGATCCATCTAAGCCATCTTTAGGCACCTGAATAATACATCATAATATATGACATACCATTCACGAAATATATCAATGTATGTACTGTCCTGTGATCAGTGTATTTCACAACAGGACAACCTCTAAGAGAAACGTTTCCTTAAACATAAATGGTGCCTTTCTGCACATTTATAACATTACATCATATAGCAATATGCTGACAGAATTTTCTGACAACATTCTTGATATTTTTGTATTAAATGTATTACCCACCAAAAAGTCTGTACCGGGTAAATAAACCTACTCATATGTATGATGTTGTGTAATGTGCCGATTCCTTGAATATGAATCAGGGGGAACTGATTGCCTAGGCTTTATCAGGAGAATTACAGTATTTGATATCACTTCTCTTTTCTGTAAAAATAGCTAACTAGAAATTTATTTTGCTTTCAAGTTGTAAATATACAAAACCAAATGAAATTTTAAACATTAATATATGTTTTTGAGATGAGGACACTTGCCTGTGTACAAGCTGTAGAATAGCTTTGTAAACTGAGCGTGTTTGAGAGCTATACCTACGACTGTATAAGGCTGTTACATAATAATGTCTCACTCCTGCTGGGCTACAGTTCACACTTCTGTCCTAATCCTAAAACACCATTGCCTTACAACAATACCACTCTACTCTATTGACATTCACACACTGTCGTACAAGAACAAATATTTTCCATTCCATACTGGTAATGTTTTCAAGTTTCCTAGTGAGAACAATTTATAAAGTTATCACATGGGAAACAGTCAATTTATATATCACTGTATAATAACAAGTCTTCTTGTATTAACAATAACAGATTCATTAAATGATACAAACTAATGATAGTGTTTTTCCACTGAAGATATGACAAAGCATTAAGACTAAGATCTATATCTAAGCCAACTGTGATCATTAGTGCAGATGTTTTTGGATATTACAACCAATTTCTTTCTAGAAATGTCATCGTTTACCAGTATTGGCTATGTGTTATCAAATATTGGATATAGGTTCTCAAACGAGATTCCATTGTTATCCTCAATAGATAGTGAGAAAGGGACACTATAGTAGGTCAGCTAAGCCAGAAGTACATAGAAAGGAACACTTCCTTAGTGGGTTATAATCCTAAGCCAGAGACACCCAGAAATAGACCCTACAGTAGGTCTGCTAAGCCACAGGCACTCAGAAACGAACACTTCCTTAGATGAAAGTAAAAAGGATGAGGCACAACACATGGATCCGCTGCATAGTGTATTGTTTAAATTACATCCTACGTGCTGACATGTTACGGCCCAAAGGAGGCCGTCTTCAGAGCACACCAGTTACATTATGATATTGTTGGCAGCTAAGGTACCCTGCAGGGACGTTGGGCCTCCACCCCCCCTGTTGTTACTTCCTTAGACGGTTATAATCCTAAGCCAGACACACCCAGAAATAGACCCTATAGTAGGTCAGCTAAGCCACATGTACTCTGAAAGGGACACTTCCTCAGTGGGTTATAATACTAAGCCAGACACACCCAGAAACAGACCCTACATTGGGTCAGCTAAGCCACAGGTACTCAGAATGGGACCCTTCCTCATGTTATTATCCCAAGCCAGAGACACCCAGAACAATCTCACCAGCAGAAGATTGGTTGTAAGTGTCAGGTGTCGCGGAATGGATGTATCATTAACTGAAGCTGGTGTTTTTTAATATACAAAGACAGCTGTGACTGAAAGTGACAGGAGCACAGCCATCACTGATAGAGTGCGACAGACCTTATAGGATGCCAGCATGTACTGACATCGGACAACTTAACACCAAAATAGACTGTAATTATGTTCTGGTGTAGACATGTGTTAACCTGGGTATACCATTTTCTATACTGTCATCAGGTAATTAAACAAGACAGCCACATCAGCCACTAATGACACCTAACCAGAATATATTTGTATCTAGACATGTTAAAACTGCCAACAGCAAGTAACCGGAATAGACTTTGTTCTAAATAATTATTTGTAAAGATCTGCCTGTGTGTAAATTGATAAGATTTCATCACCATAAGTGCTTTTTAAATTGGTCTATACCAACATGACATTTACAAAATGGAGGTTTGATGTGGCTTATATAAAATATATAGGTTCTATCTAGCAATTTAGCAACCATTAATGTTTCATCAGAATCACATGTGTCACATTATTCAAATCAAATGAACACATGCAAACCTACAATGCCCATCAAAGTCACTACAAGTCATTTTAAGCATGGACATAATCTGAAGCCATTCTATTTGAATAAGTCATGTTACAAAAACTATACAAAACATTGCCACATAATGTCTCTCTCTAGCTGTTGTGTTCAATAAAGCCTTACACTGATCCTACTGTAATATGTAGTAACACTAATGTAAAAACAGCTCTCACCAAGTGCTACTTGAGAATACCAAACTGACAAACATGCTCGGCTGATAAGCATCTCAAGGACTTAGAAGGCATCTTAAATCTAATCCACTGATATCAAAAACACATTCAAGCCTTTAAAGGACTTGGAAGACAATTAAATCTTTTCAGTGAAGCTCTTCCTCACCAGCTAAGGCATGAAAAAGGTTACATGCAACATCTACTTACTGGGTTAGGGTTTTTAATGACAATACTGACAGAATGCTACAGACTTGTAGGACCAGCTGTCAAGAGGTTTCACAAACCTATCTTCAATAAATCTTGGTAATTCTTTACAGAAATGAAAGCTAGCATAAATGTTGGTACTGATCTACAGCAGAAATGGACATCTATAAACCTATAAACAAGGTATCAAGTCTAGGTATGAATATGTGACAAGAAAGTAAAACTAAAATGCATTCAAATTCTTCAAACTGTATTTCTTTCTCCACTTAATTTAACTCTTCTATGATCTTATGTATTTAGTAAAATGGCGTTTAATTATCTAGCTCTAAAATACATTGAATTCTAAATGTGTATTTTTTGTACTGTCTTCAGTGATTAACAAACTGTATATAGAGAACGAATCAGACAACTTTAATTTCCCTGTCACTGTTTCTTATATCTACTGTCAAGCAAGACTTGGAACACAGGTTAACCAAGAACAAGTTACCAAAAGCACACAGAAATCGGGAGTCTGTCATAACAGAATACAGCATACATCAAGCAGATTAAAGCACAAGCATACAGACATTGTCAGCATAAAACATCTACAGTGGTGCCACCTACCTCGTCGTGAACTCAGGACTGAGTCTGTCTCTGTACATGTGTCACAGCTCTGGTCTCGACTTACAACAGACGCATTTGCACTACAATATAAATTGACAAGGTTAATATCGCTTAACATTTCCATCATTTTCCTCAATTGTCCATCAGTTGGAGGAAAAGGAGCTCTATCTTGTTTCTTATTTAAAAGTCCAGATATCATCAATAATAATTCAAGGAGCATTTGAATACCACCCCTCCCCCATCACTCCAACAGTAGGTCTAAAATTTTGTATCATTTTATCAAAGTCATTACTAACTCAATTAATTTGACGTACAGAAGAGGTGATTTCATCAATCTCTTCAAAAGTCAATCACACAAAACAGTGCATTCTTTAGTTAAAACAGAGAATCAGAAGTGATACTGGCACCATTCTGTAAACATCAGAAATATTTTGTGAATTACACTGTCAATACAGGATACAAGCCTTACTATATCAAGCCGTCATACACTCAAGTCATAACAACCAACACTATTATTGGACATATTCTGTAATGAATGTAAGAATGAATTTGATTAACTATAATGTCAACTTACTGAAAAGATGGTGGCCGACTGTCTCCAATGCCACCTAGCCTTTCGGAAGGCATCTGAACATCCCCAGACTGTGAATCTGTACATTGTGACTGGGTATCGGACGTACTACTTTCGGCAGGCACCAACTGTAAGATATACAAAGTAGTACATATTAATCTCATAAAAACAACTATACAGTAAAGACATGTAAATGTCTAACTATGATATCTTTGTCAAGGTTTTCTGCATTTCAATTTCTGTCTTCTTCATCATTTCATACATCAGAATCAACAATCTACAATATTACAACCAGACCTTGTCAACATTACTATGTAAGAAATCACAGAATTTTGTAGTTCCATACATAAATTCTTGTGTTGTTTTTTTCACACTTAAACTGTTCACTAACTTTTTTCCTATTCGATGTACAAAATATTGTTTCAGCATTGTTGTTTTGACAAATTAACTAATAAAACTATGTATGTAAATGAATATGAAACGGACCCAACAAAGGATGAAAATACTTATATCAGTGTACCTGCATCTATTGTCACTCGTGAGTTATTGGCTGGTTACAAGTTTGAGCACTTTCCAGCACCGTAAGAGTTACATCTCTAAAATCTACACAACCAAGCTAACCAGACAGTAACAGAGAGATTCATTTCTATACTATAAAGTCTCTGTGTATTGAGGAAGAAGAAGCCTTTGATCTTTTACCCAGGTAATAACACCCATTAGTTCATTATGGAGCATACCTGTTGTGTTGTCTGGACCCATCTATTACTAGTGATGGGTGTGATGAGGTTAAATGTAACATTAACGGAAAGCTATTATTAGCTTTGTTTGTACTGACAGACTGTTAAATGGACAGGACCTGTCATTAATCACTGCTTTGTACAATCAATGATCAGATTTACAATGAAAACTGTCATTTATAACCTCTCTTTTGAAAACCCAAACCTAACAGATTCACACAGAAATAGTCACTTGTTCACTCTCTACTGAAAAGCCAAACCTAACAAATTGACACAGAAAATGGTCACTTGTTCACTCTCTACTGAAAACCCAAACCTAACAAATTGACACAGAAAATGGTCACTTGTTCACTCTCTACTGAAAAGCCAAACCTAACAGATTCACACAGAAATAGTCACTTGTTCACTCTCTACTGAAAACCCAAACCTAACAAATTGACACAGAAAATGGTCACTTGTTCACTCTCTACTGAAAACCCAAACCTAACAAACTGACACAGAAAATGGTCACTTGTTCACTCTCTACTGAAAATTCAAGCCAAACAGATTCACACAGAAAATGGTCACTTGTTCACTCTCTACTGAAAATTCAAGCCAAACAGATTCACACTGAAGCCAGGGTTTATCTAGTTAGATATATATTAATATTTTCTGAGAAATTCTGATTAGCAGGTATATGGAGAGATAAGTGCCAATCTGACTGTCCTCTAATTGTAGTCAGAGGACTGTGAATAGCATGTACTTGCTAAGAAACACAAGGAATTGCTTTCAAATAGAATGAAACTCTACCAAAACAAATGTAAATAGACTTCAAATTGTGTCTAGTTTATTTATTGATCTGAAGTGTGATATGTCCAGGTGTTCAATAACACTTTATCCTGCGTAACAAAGACTTCAGATCATTATATTGTTAGTAAGTCTGGTAGGCCAAAGCCAGATGTAGTTTGTGTATGTCTATAATAGTCTAAAGGCTAGACTCAAACATTTATCCAATATTATGTTTTGTGCTGATTCTGATTACAAGAATACTCAAAATATACCTTTGTCATGAGCTGTTTGTTTGAATGTATTATGTAAACATATTTTTTTTCTCAGCTTTCAGACTTACGGATAAATTTCAGACAAAAATTTCTTACCAAAACATACATTATACACACAAGGGATTAAAGTACCTGTTGAGTACATGTTATTTTACTAGCCTGGAGACATGTCATATGGTCTGAGGTTTCCATTAATGTGTTTAGAATTACCAAGATATAATTTTTACCTAAAATATGTATTATTATTCCTAAAATCACATAAAAACAAGAAATGGAACTCATTCCAAAAAAATATTCTACTTTCCAACAAAATTGGTCTATATTACCACAGCCTAACACAGCATCTAGAATAACCAGGAATTTACCGCAAATCTTCTACAAAGAGTCCATGCCTGATTTCAAACCCAAACCTATATGCATCTGTTAAGAGAGATTATCAATAAATACAATTAAAAAGATTGTACTGAAATAAGCTCATCCTCTCCCTCATCGACTCCCTGGGCCGCAGGAGAAATATGGAATAGTTGTTTACATATTATATGCTATTTCTATCTATTCACACACTATCAAAGAAGCACTTAACAGTAAACTTAATTAATCTTTTCAAAACTCAACAATTTCCTTGTCAAGATGGCTACAATAATATACACTCTAGTTTATTACAATTACTTACAATACACATGGTTGGATGTACTTAATAACCCTCTCTGTGTATTACGTTTAGTATACGGTAACTACACAATAATAGAGCTAGGAAGTTATTTTCTATGATCATATCCAACTAATGATATTACTAGCACTAAGAAAACCCTATCATTGGTTGCCCTTCCCAATTACAGACAGGAATTTTTCAGGAGAATGCAACCTACTTTAGAGAAGTTTTATTAACAACAGCATATGACAGACTGACAGACAGAAAAACAGTTTAACTATACAATTATCCCAACTTCTCCAACTGTAGTCCTCTTTGATTAGATCAGTACTGGTGAACAATTTACGTAATGGCTTTATAAAATTACAGTGGATTGTCAATAACCTTGATCCAACAAATCACATGGTCATTTGAGTTGTGGTTGTCATATCTGATCATTGTATACATATACAATAAACGAAATCCAAGAAATGAAGCAGCTCAATGACACAGTATCCCCCTGATTATTCCCTATAAATATTCAAATAACATGGGGTTGTTGATGCAATGACTATGAGAAAGGGGACAAACATTAATAACATCACAATCCTCATCCACAGGTTTGTTAATTATCCAAGGCTGACTTGCCATTTATGATTTGCAGGCTAGTCCCTTTGAAATACACTCTGTACAGTTATATTTGCAAACAGCACATTCTGAATTGGGGCATAGGTAAATTGGAAAACTTAATGTGATAATAGCATAATCATGTTCACATTTCTATTTCTAATTATTTCGTTGTTCCTGCATTAATTTCAGATTGAATAAGAAAGGTGTAATGTGTGTCCTATATTTGGATACTTGGATTCATTTACTGACATCAAAACCTACAGATATTTACTGCAACTGTTTTACCTCTGTACTGAAGGTGGGAAGGGATAATGGCGCAAATCTACGATTCATTTTCAAAGGAACTCTGATGAAAGACATGCAGAAAATCCCTTTCCCTAATGATTTAAATCAGTTCTATATTCACCCCACTGGTTTCCCTTGGAGTGAAGCTCCTTTATTAGCATCATAATTACAGCAGTAAATTGGTTCCCCTTTAGTAAGTAAGGCGTGTGCATCACCTTTTTCTTTTGAGTAGGGGTTAAATCTATAGTCAGTTTGCCAGTTTCTGTAAAGAGATGTCATTGCTTCAGTTATGAATGACATGAGTCCTAATGTTTTTCTTTGCATTTGTATCATATAACAATGTCAGATATATGATCCATTTAAATAGAAAATTTTAATGAACGTTGGATAAAAGGAAAAAAAGTCTTTTCAGTGTATCTTACATTTATTTTCTGTTTCAAAGGAACATCTGAGTAGAATCAAAATAAGTTATGTAGAAATCATTTGGTATCATAAATCTTTGATTCACTGATATAAATAAACCTGAATCCTCCATGATCACAGAAGTGTATTTTACATGTGAATTACATCAGGAACCACAGAATTACACTACGCTCCAGTTATAAGCTTCTTGCCTGAGAAGTACATCTTATTTTTTTTTCTGGTTCAGTGATCAATGGGTAAAGCTCCACAGCCCCAGCTCAGTAGTGAGTTTTAATTATTGCTATCAGCTCAGAAGGGTTTGTGAACATAAACAGACTTTGAGTAGGTACTACACATGACTGTATGAGAGCGCTATCTACTTTTATATCTAGGTGAAGGGATAAATAAAGTTTTACTTCAAAGGCCGAGTTGACGATGAATGTTTAGAAATTGAACTGAATCGTGAAAATGTACACAAGAATAACATATAATAGAGTACTTAATTATGATAATATTTTTAATTTCAGCCAATAGGGACATTAATGGTAATTTTCCTCATGTATATAGATTTATGGTTGAATTGTTGAGAGATGAGACGGATGAAAAACAAACTATCCTGACTCTAACGTTCTCCAGAAAATAGAGACATTCTCAACAGGTTTTTTTCTATATCTACTTTTTAAAAAATCTTATTACTGTAAAATCATATAATTTTTGTGGGACTCAATTTCCATGTTCTTTCAAAATATTACTTTTTGTGGGCTCGTTATTTCTTTGATATATATCTATAGCTTAATAAATCTACTTTTCACTTATCTCAACAGTTCATGAACAGATGAATTCTTATAGATATTCCATGAAATAAATGTGAGTAAGTCCTCTACGGAAATCAATGATTTTACAGTAGGGGATTTCATACTGATGAGATGCATTTTCTTAAAAATTTAAATCACTGATCCTATTAGGCTTTCAATACCACATCTAGTTTTCAAACCCTGAATGAATGTTCTATGCTGCTGATAAATAAATTATTGTAACCAGACCCTACATTAGCAAGTAATCATTCATAAATTTACAAGGTCATTGACATTCTTTAAAAACATAAACATTCAAAATAATATTTTATACCAAGTAAGTACTATAGTTGTACTTATTAGACATACTCAATTGCAGAAAATACACATATCAGACCTTTTAAGCAGTGATCCGCACTTAAAATACTTGTTGCTACAAAGTACGTTTTATAACTTTGGAATTGGATGAAGCTAAATATCAGACTGGCTTTGAAAAAGAAATACCTGCATGTACACCTTGTAGATAGAAAATAGTTTGTGGGGAATAGGGGAGAAAATAAATACCATGCTGGGCCATGACTTGTACGATTATGAACCTCACAGCAGCCTTTCAAGTTGACCATAAAATATTTACATCCCTACAGGTTTGTATCATTTCAATATGCCAACAAGTTTACAGACTAGAGTAGCTGCCCTCTCTTTACCATCATCAAGTGTTAATTTAGCTACAGGAAGCTTCCTTCCCATCTACAGGAGTTCCACTTCACTAACAACTTTTCCCATTTACCTTAAAGAAGAAAAATACACTGTTGGATTTTTTTGGTGGATGGTGCAAATTTTTGGAATTACTTTTGTGTTTTCAACAGACATTATATATGCTGTTACAGTATTTGTTCTAATTATCATTGCTTGGATTATTGTTTAAACAGGAAATAAAAAATCAAAAGTGAAAATTATATCATGAAAATATTACTCGTATCAACCAAAGGTGATATTGACCTGTAAAGGAGTCAGTAACCATAGCCGCTTAAATATAGTGACCAACAAATACAGGTGGTGCAAAAACCTATGTTTTTAATACATTAAATGAAAAAGAAGTGGATAGAATATGTTCTCAATATTCAGTCAATATTTGAACGCAGGAAGATAGGTTGTCAGTATCATGAGAGATAATTTAATAAAAGGTAGCATGTATTACAGAATTCTACATTAATCTTATAACAATTCATTCATATTTGTGGAATGTACTTCACCATTTGTTGATTGGATTATGAAAGAATGAAGATTCTATCAAATGTTTCACGTGACATAAATTTTCTATTCACAAGAATGACATTTGAATTGAAAGTGTACATTTATTTGGCATTAAGATAAACATGAGGTCATACACATACATACAGATAGGTAAGGAAAATATAAAACATGGTTGACCTTACAACATTCAAGAACTTATCACTACATCTTCTATATCTGATATCATCTGCCCATAAAATAAATATGAAAGGATTTCGTCATTTATCAAAAGTGGTCCTAGTACAATGATTGGTCCTAACATGACCCAGCTATTGATTTCTCCCTCACATCAAAGGAATTAAAAACAGATATTGTCAATTAACATCCCAACATGTCTCCTTCCACTATAAACCACCTGGTGTTCCTACTATCTGCCCTTACCTGTTTATGAACATTGCACTCTTCCGTAACTGAAGTTTGACCACATTTACGCTGTGTAACTGGTGCTACCAATCCTACACAAAGGTAGCTTCAGCATTGTGCGATGATTCATAAATGATGCTGCAATGTTTTATCATCAAAACCACCCCTTATCACGATGAACCCCAACATTTTTACTAATTAACAATGGTGTGAGTTTATAGCCGTTGTCTAATTGACTAGAAGCATTGTGTTAATCACTGTACAGCTATTGTTATCCACAAGTTCATTTCATTTTGTGTAAGATTTTTATGTTTGTTTCAAATATGTAACATGATGTAAATAACTATACACTGATGACATTACAAGGTCTATACTAATTCTCTTTTAATCATCACTTACAGGCTTATATATAGATATATAACAATGATAGTTAACATTAACAATGCTTATTGATACTTATATTTCGAAAAGGAACATATAACAGTTAACTTGTTTTTTATCCCATATGTATATATATAAATGTATGTTTTAACATGAACCATTGAATCAAACATTAGACCAGGTACATAATCTTAAGTACTACACACAACTTGCTTCTCTCTTGTCACTATTTAACATCACCTTCATTATGTAAATCAATATATTTTATATGCACTGTAAACTTGGGTCACAGCTGCAATATGATTCAAGAAGCAGACTTACTTTTTCTTAAAGATTTATTGAGATTGGAAAAGATGTATTCAGACATTAGAGAGAAAATCCAGTAACACATTCCAGAATGCCAAATATTACGTAACTTGCCCTATATCTTCTGCTGGTACAATCAAGCACATGTTCATTGAATATGGGAAAAAAAAGTAAAATTTTGCATTTGTTAGTTTTCTACAGTAATTGGGATATTTTAAAACAGAATCTGGCATACTGTTGAAAGAACATGCGGGATGAAACACTACACTGGTAGAGGCCCAGGCAATATTTACAAACCATGTGTACACATAATATAGACACAACTACTGTTGCTACGGAAATGCTGACTCACCCATACATTTCTATTTTTTCCATTTCAATAAGAAATTACACAGCAATGGCAAACCAAATTCAAATTTACATACCTGGTAAACATGTTTATTAAATTTACAATGAAGTTTTGTAGAGTAACATTGAGTTGTGTATCACATTAAATTATAACATATTGTAGTATGTTTTATATGAAAATATTCTAAAAGGTATTATACACTTCATTGGGTAACATCAAATGGGCTACGATAAGTGTATTCGAGTCTATTGGTATGTTTGTTTTGTATGTTTGTATGCTGGGTTTATTGCCCTGTCAACAGTCAGGGTCATCTTCAGATAGTGGTCTCCTTGTAATTGCAGGTGACTTCATCAGTGAACAACATACAAGAGGCCCATCACATACCATCCAGAGTAATTAGTGTAAAGTGTCTTACTGTAGGACACAGCCAAAATAGAACACTCATTTGTTTCTCAGATTCCTGACACACCTTGGAACTTCACCTAAGGATGCGTTGGCCAAGTTTCTATCAAATGAGCTGTCGTGCAACACTGGTATTGGTATGCATTGGTGCTATTGTATATTGGGTAAACACAAGCACAACAGGAAAAGAAAATAATATCAATACGTACCCATGATACTACTCGTCCATTAAAACAAGGTAATCGTGTCTCATCATCTATTATTTCTTCTTTAACAACACTGCAAAATAAAACAGAGGTCTGTTAAAGGTGCCCTGTAGTATGTGTAACAACAAAATACCAATGCTATCTCTACTTATTGAATCCAAAATGTGAATCACTGTATGTTTAATTAAGAAATTAGGCATCCTAAAAATAAGAATGAACATTCTGTCTCTCAGGCTATTTTAACTGTATTTGAGTCAACTGTTTTGTATATGTAGGTCTAGCCAACAAGGAACAAGATTTTTTTTTTTTTTTTTGTAGTTTTAATAGCTAATCGGGCATTTAAAGGACAAATATGTAAATCATAACGCTTCCATAAGCTTCTTGAAAATAGACAATTACATAATTCCATACAGGTCTCTACATTCTTTATAAAAAAAGCCAGGATGTGGCTCAGACAGCTAACTACCTCAGAAACATGCGTTCCCTTTTCAAATCCTTTATCAAATTTCAATGAACACTAAAATGTACAAACTAATCTTATTCAAGCAGTGCTTCTAGTTTAATATCAATATGAGTCACAAATATTAACTTGAAACTTGTTACAACGGTGTATTGTGATCATATCTACCTGATATGATACTTTAACTACACTATTTAAAAACATAATTTTGAAGAGTCTTTACGAGTCTCACTGTTGCTTATTGTCACTGGTTGACATAATTTTCATAGACTAAGAATATATGTCAATGACCACATAATCCTGGTTGTTCAGCCATCTTGTCCTGTCTCAGAAAATTTTCATCAAACCAGAACAATGTTATTTTGTGATTAATGCAAATCTCAATCTGAACAAACACACATAACTTGTCATTTTTCAAGTTTTTAGTATAATTCATGCTTGTCTTCTTGTAACCGTATGCATGCATATCACTGTTTTTAAAGATGATAGCATTATTTAAAGCAAACGACTACCAGAGGTTGCGGGTAAATCGTTGGATAATTTGAATTGATCACAAAGCTAGGATTGGTAGTAACATTTATTTCTACGCCTCTAACAATAGGCTGAAACAGTAACTCTGCTATTTTTAGCCTAAAAACCTTATGGTGTAATCACAGAACTGTTAAATCCTGACCTGGCAAAGAATATTTTTCTGACCTTGTCTTGTTTTCATACATATCATAGGTCATGTATCTAGATACTTCATGTATTGTGAGAAAATATATGTTACAGGGAGGTTTAACTACTGAAACAATCTTTTAGACTGATTAACCTGGTGATACATGGTATGCAATATAATTTACTTTCAACCATTATTTAAATGTTCCTTCTTCTGTACTCCTGTGTTGGGTTACCCAGGTACTTGCAACACTAGTACAATCTACTCTTTACATTAACTTGTACCACTAAGTTCTCTCTATCATATCAGTTGGCATTTATCTTTAATTCATAGTAAAAGGTACAGTACACTTTCATCTTTTGATCTCTCCTATCCTTTTTGTAAACTTCAAAATACATACAGGTAGTCTGAAATCTATATTTCACTAAATCACTGTTCTTCATGACATCAGCCATGACAAAGATTCCATTTAAGCAAAATTTACATATAATATATTTGTGAAATTAATGCAATCCTTTGATCCATCTGATCAAACTCCCTCCACTATCACAGATATATTTTCACCTGTCATTGTTGCGAATTGAATACAACCCACCCTTCAATCTAGATTTCTCTACTAAACACTGGCATATTTTTCACCTGTCACTCAAAACATGGAAATATACACATGGTGTGACTTCGTGGCGTGTCGACTGAAGCTTAAGCTGTTCAAATATATGATAATATGATTATAAAAACTCTTCTTGTTATTCTTTGACATCGTGTTTTGATAGCCTCACAGTAGATATATTGCTGTGGTTAAGAAAAATATATTTGGGGGTATAAAAAAAACAACATTTTCGATCCGACTACAAAACGGTAAGTGTGATAAGTTTTATTTACAATCCAATACAATTTGCAGTTTGATAAGGATTGATGATTGTTTTTACTTTTTTTTTCAACACTATCCGTTGATGTATAACTTATGCTAATTGACAGATTTACATTTTTTGTGCTTACCTTAATCTTAAGGATAAACTTGAAGATCCGTGTTTCAACTCTTAAGGCTTATAAAAGGTGAACTAATGTCAACAGGAACATTTTTTTTCAAATGATATTGTTTGTAGGGCGTGAGATCGGCTCTATTCCATTTTAATACACTGTATCATAGATTTCAAATGACCTTGCACTTGCCGACGATGTCTACTTCTGCAGCACGAAACAAAGACTGCTAATGCAACATCGACATCGATTATATCGTCGAAATTCACACATACAAAGATTAACTGCACGTTCCTGAGTGTAACATACCAAAATTTGAATCCCCTTCAAATGTCTCTCGTTTTATCACTTACCCAAAATCGTCATCCACAGACTTGAAAAAGAATTTATAATTTGGACGGTTCAAAGCATTCTTGAAATCCCCCAAAGTGACACGATCGGCGGGTATCGGTAATTTTATCAAATAAGGAGTATCCTCGTCATCAATGTAGTAAATTATTTTGGTCTCCTCCATCCCGAAGGAAGGAGATATTCACGGAAAATCCCACAATGATGATCAGTTATCTTCTGCAAGATGGCGTCCAAATATTTTCAGTGCTCCAAGACTGATGTCAGACTGAGGCTCAAACGGGAGACAGAAATATCGATTCCGAAAATGTATTACAGTATATAAAAAAAATTCGCGTGAGTTGATTCTTTGGCACTTTTCTACAAAAGGAAACAAGTTATCGTGCAAATATTTGATGAAAATATAATTTACGAAAAAAAACGAACATGGTTTTGCATGAATTTCACTGCTACTACTGAAAGTGTAAAGAAGGTTCTTATGATTTTCGATGACTAATCGTTTCGCATACTAAAATTAATCATTAAATGTCACATATATGTACACATTCTATTAATCTTAAAATTATTTTTGAATTGGGATGTTAACTTTTATATGATCATTCGAAGTGGACTTAATGTAACACCGATTACAGTTATTGGCTAGGGGGTGACAACCAACAAAATGGAACAGCGATAAACAATCCTTTCAGATTGCTCCGTTCCTACACTGAAAATAAAAGATATAGAAAGTAAGATTTCGTATCATTTGTATGAAAAACTCAGTTACTGTACATTTGTTCATTTATTTATTAATTTCTTCATTAATAATAATTAATTGTTTTGTTTACATTTTATATTGGCAAACCAAATCATTGATTTTTCTCAGTGCGAACAATCAATTCTACTTCCGGTTGGAATATCGGGATTTTATATTGGAGAAAGTATTTCTGTACTGTTTTTAGAAATACGGGTTCTTTCACAAGGAAGCGGTGTTATTGTAACCTCACAGGTATATATCGTACCCTTACGATTTAGAAAATGATATTCAAAATTCTGCAAGTTCGATTTAAGAAAGTTTATAGCAATATTGGTTTGACCTTATGGAAGGGGTTTCTTGTCTGTCATTTCTGGTCCAATATTTTTTGTCGATTTTCCCTGTTATGTCGTTTTTGTGTTTTATATTATATAATATTATATTATTCTTGAACTGGTCATTTTGAGATTTCGATTGAAATCGGAATTTTTTGTTGACTAATGTTCAATACAGTTTGTATTGTGCATTTTATTTTGGGTAAGGTGATGAAGACATGTGGATTAGGTACATTCATTGTAGCCTTCACACGTTTTATGAAATATGAAGTGGAACGTTTCCTTTGTTTTAAGAAGTTCCTGATCTATTAAATTATAAAACAAATGTTTCCTTTGTCAAAGAAGACATATTGTCCCCTGAAATGAAGTGCCACACATATATTGTGAGATATAAATGAGGATGTTTATTAGAAATTCAGCAGGTAGGAAGTGACAAGATTCAAGTAGTTTCTGACATGTTCCAGAATTTATTTAGATAAGTGTACAGTCAGGATTCACTTCATTAAACTCGCTGTCGTATTACATGAAGCAACTAATACTGGATATGAATTTTCCCAAAATGTCCAGGAAACCTGTGGTTTTTCGTTTTTTTAGCTACTATCAAAGGTGTAGTGTTTCAGTCACCTGAACACAAAAATATTTCTCGTTTTTCTATTGCATACTTTCTTCCTGATAATATCCAAATACAGTTTCTTCCACTAAACAATTCAAATAGTTATCAGGTTCACTGCCAATGTTTTAATATGTATATTCATTTGATAGACAACATATATACTATTCTTTTTACTGCCAGTCTTTCGACATCGGTATGATGTCACTGGTAAGAGTGGGTTGTTATTGTTGTGCATTTGTTATGTAATATTTAAAACAGCATGTTACACTTCAGTAAAATATGGCAATATGTGATAAATAAATTTAAGTCCTTGTTGAAAAGTTTAAACCAATGTCTATGAGAATATTTGCACAGCAGCCTTAGTCAGTAAAGAGAATTTATAACTGAAAAGAGATATACCCAAATGAACGAATTCTTCAAAAATATGTTTGTAAAGGTATTGGTAATGCATTATATATCAAACTATTGTGATTTTTAATTTCTTTGACAGGCTATGGAAGTGGGGTTACGGGCTGTCCGCGGCCCAGACTGGAAATGGGGTAATCAGGATGACGGAGAGGGTCATGTAGGCACAGTGGTGGAGATAGGAAAGCCAAGTAGTTCCACTTCTCCAGATAAAACTGTTGTAGTTCAGTGGGATTCTGGAGCTCGCACTAATTATAGAGTGGGTTATCAGGGTGCCTATGACCTTCGAGTTCTGGACAATGCCCCAACAGGTTTGTATAGCCTCTAATACCTCCATACTCTGGTCAATCCCCCTGCAGGTTTATATAACCTCTAATATCTCCACATTCTGGACAATCCCCCTGCAGGTTTATATAAACTCTAATACCTCCACATTCTGGACAATGCCCCAACAGGTTTGTATAGCCTCTAATACCTCGGCATTCTGTACAGTCCCCCTTCATGTTTAAAAAAAAAATTGATATTTAAAGTCTGGTGGAGAATCTTTCTTAATTCTTGATTTAGCCGTGAATCTCACTTAACTTTCGTTGACGGTCATCACTGAATGAGTTGATCATTGATGCCTTTTCGCACAAATACTTATATATACACGTCTTGTACCCAGAGGGGAATTATTGTAGCTTAACATGGTGGTGGATGATTTTCTTAAATGATTTTATTAACCCATTTTGTAATTTCATAGGAAATATTTGAGATGATCAATTGTTTTGACATAAAATCTACAAACCTCAAACATGGGACCTAAAAAAAAATTACAGCTATAATAAGAAACTTTCAGTGCCATTTGTAAGTAATACAGTTTTAGATTGGGCACAATTTATTTTTGGTCAAGAAAACTTGAGTGGATACATAATAATGATTTTTAAACTGGATTTTAATAATCTGTAAAATTGTAATATTTAGACATTTTGTGAGTAGAAAAGTTTCTACTTCAAATGGTTTAGATAATGTACTGGTGGTTACAGTTTGTACGGTATTCATAAACTTTATCATTTAAGGTGTAAAGCATCCTAACATTATTTGTGATGGCTGTAAGAAGCAGGGAATCCAGGGAATGAGATGGAAGTGCACCAAGTGTCATGACTTTGACCTCTGTACAGAGTGTTACATGTCTGATAAACATGACCTTGGCCACGCCTTTCTCAGGTTTGAGACGTCACCATCTAAAGGGTATGTACAGGTTCAAATATTGTATTATAACATGATAGACAAAATATAGCTATAGATATTATTGAAAGAAAGAATGTTTACTTTATATAAACAGTACTGTTACATTTCTGGGTATTGTATACTAAAAATCTTCTAATTCTGGAGAGGTTTTGTTATTTTGTGGATATGTCATGGTTTTTCTGTGAGATGTAATATACTGATTGTTTCTCATTTCTAGATTTACAGAGATGTTGATAAATCATCATTCTGATAGATTTACAGGATTATGTATTATTAGAACTTCTTCGTGTTTATTAAATCATTAATTACAATATTTATCCTAAAATATGCCCTAGGGTCCAACACATCTGATTGAAAAATTTTATAGTAGCATTAGCAGACAGGAGCTTATGATTGGACAAATCGCATATACAGTTTTTGATTTGAGTACACATACATTGTACAACATATTATAGGGCATATTGTCATATTTTAGCCTTAGAAAGTAAACTATTGGTGCAATAATTTCAGCAATGGTGAATCTCCTTTTAGAGAGAAGATACCAGGGTAACATTTTGGCTATGATATACAGGAATGATAACTTTCCTTTCAGAGTGAAGATGCCAAAAAGGAAAGATAGTGTAAACAGCAACAAAATCCAATCCTGGGGAATCTTCCCAGGTGCCAGGGTTTTACGTGGCCCTGACTGGGACTGGGCTAACCAGGATGGTAAGCTAACACATTGTCAGATCATAGCAGTGCCCAGCATAGGAACACTGACAACACAATGACATGGATTTTATATCCCTTCTGTGAAATTTTTGAATATGTAGGAAGGATGGGGTGGAGAGGTCATGGGGCATAGCATTACCGGTCTGTCACAGTTTTTAGCTCAAAGGACCAATTGAGTTGTAGGTTTATCGCATTGTTCATTTCCATTGTTTGTCATCTTACCTATGAATATCTTTTAGTCATGAACACCTGAGCAGTTTTTAACTAAATTTTTTGTCTGTAGCATGCTTGAGGAAAGGGGAATTTGTATTGATTAATGAATCTGGGCCCCAAGGAGCCTGAGGGGCGAGGTTCAATAGGGAAAATATATTAATTTCTTTAAAATCTATCTTGTTCCTTAGGAGTTGCAGGATATTGTCCAAATTTGGTGTGAAGCATGCTTGGGTGCAAGGAAATTGGTTTTGTGTAAATAGTGAATGTTGGGTCTGATCCCCATGGGACAAGAGGATGGGAACCATATGGGGAAAGTCTACCAATTTCTTTAAGGTCTATCTTGTTTTTCAGGAATTGTAAGATATTGCACAAATTTAGTCTGAAGCATGCTTGGGTGAAGAGGGTCAGTTTTGTATGAACAGTGGGTCTGACCCTCCTAGGAGCAAGAGAGCCAGAGGAGTGGGACCCAATAGGGAAAATAAAGCACATTCCTTAAAATCCTACACATCTTTTAGGAATGATTGGATTCTGCCCACATTTGATCTGAAGCATCCTTTTGTGAATAGGAATCTGTTCTGTATGAACTTTAAATTTTGACCCTTTGGGGCAGGAGGTACAGGGCCGTATAGTGGAAATGGAGCACATTTTGTTGTTCCAATTTGGCTGGACTAATGTTTGGGTTAAGAAGAATCAATCCTGTATAAATGGTTTGGAGTCCATCAACATAGAGCTCCGGCCTCATAAGGTTAGGGCAGTCAGTAACCCACACACCTGAGTCTGTGTTAAAACAATAATTATGGAAATAAATCGTCTTTTTCACATGCATATCTCAGATGAGTTGAAAAGTCTGTATCTACCCATATTTTGATGGAAATTATGCAGGAACTTAACCCTGTGACTTAAGGAGATTCCATGATACCCAAGGTATTTCCCGAAAAGTTAATATGTATATTGTAAAAAAAATAACCAGGACAAATA